GCACCCGCTTCGCAGCTGGAGGGGGGCTCGGCCCCCCAGGAGTTCAAGGCCAGCGGTGCAGAGCCGGTGGTGTGACCCGGAGGGCTTCCTGGGGGACAAAGGACGACCCTGGGGGCGGCCCCTTGGGCCCCGGGCAGCTGCCTCCCTCCTAGGTGCCCGGGAGAGGCTCCAGAGCCACAGGTCCTGGCCTGCCCCGGGGCCGAGGCCCCCAACCCCTGGGCTTGTCCTGGGCAGGTTCTCACAGGGGTGAAGGGCTCTTTCAGCCAGGCCTCTCCGTTCAAGTGGGGTCCTGGCCCTCAAGCTGGGGAGCCTAGAGGGGGGCAGGAACCCTGGTCCAGGAGGTGCGGGTCTCGGCACAGGGTATGAGCAGGCACCGGGCACACCAAAGGTGCCAGCCGCCTGTGACTCGGCGGCCGGCGGCCGTCCTGTCCCTGCTCCCCCGCGGGCTCCTCTGTGGCTCTGACCCTTCCTGTCCCTGCTCCCCCGCGGGCTCCTCTGTGGCTCTGCCCTGGAGTCAGTCAAGGCCAGTGTGTGCAGTGTCCCCCAAGCAGCTGCCCCACCTGGCCGGGCCACCGCCTGGCCCAGCTCTGGGACACACTTTCACCCTTGACCCTACCTGGCAGCTCTGCCGGGCCCTGGGCTGCCCCCTCAGCCCCAGGGCTGGAAACTGGGAGCTTCAGGATGGGGGGGGGGAGCTGGGGGTCTGCGGAAGTCCGGGCCACTTCTGAGCGCTGCCTGAGGGTGCCCAGCCCCAGCCGTGCCCAGATGCCAGCTTGCTTCGAACTCAGTCACACCTTCCTTTCTGTTGCAGGGCTGGGATGTCCTGTTCAGTTCCCACTGAAACAGCGCTGCCCAGGGGGAGCACGAAGGAAAGCGGGTGTCCAGGCCAGTGGGCATCCCCACCCGCACTCGGCTGGTGGGGAAGCTGCAGCTGGCCGCGGGGCCCCCACTTCGCTGACCCCTGCCCGGGCGGTGGCTCCCCTGGCCCCAGCAAATGAATCGTTCCCTCCCGCAAGCTTGTTTCTTTTTCAATGACCAGACGCCGCTGGTCAGCATCGCTGTGGGCCAGGGTGTGGCTGTACAGTCCGCAGGCCGAGGC